ATCAGATGGCTCTCGAAAAGTTCGATCGATCACTAATATAATTAACATTCAGTCTTTCTATTATACAGAATTTTTTGCGAAGAAATATTGTGGCAATCGCAAAATTTCCTCTCAGTTATCCCTTTCGAGAAAAGCATCTCTTAAAAACGTGACCGTTGACTAAACCGAATTCATTTTCGCAGTACTTTGTAAGAAATGGTCTTCTCTTTCTACTTTAAGTTCAAAAAACATTTTTATAAAACAATTCAAGCGGCAGAAGAATCTGGATATTGCGAAGAATGCTACTTTTGCAGTAGCATACCTAACAGACCATTTTTATTAGGCTCAAATAGGTTGTAATCCAACACAGACAATTTATTCTAAACGGGCATTGATATCTGATAGTATCGTTCATAATTAGTTTTTTCAGCGCCTATTTTTATAACACGGGCTAGTCAGAAAATGTGTACTCAGAAAAACATCTGAGAAGCAGATGCAATTCATATAATTATACTTTTTGACCCGTAAAAATGTTGAGGTCTATTATTTTAAATTAAGCTAAATACAAATTTGTAGAGAATTAAATTGCGCATCATCCAAAATTAAATTCAAGATTTTATCTTTTGTCTGAGCTGAGCTATATGCAAAACACAAAATGTCGCAAAACTTTTGCAACATCCGGTAGAAGTGGTCATTTTTTATCACACAGAAGACAGTTAGGGCTAGGTCTTAACAGAACCCGATTTTTGAATTTCTCTTTTGCTGAAATAAAAAACTTAGATATTTCATTTTTATTAGCAATACTTTTAGCCATGAATTGATGAATTTTTCGAAAAAGATTCTTTAAAAAACAAACAAAGGGAAATTGAAAAATCGAGTCCTGTCACGACCTAGCCCTAAAGGCACTCTACAATTTGAAAACCACGCCGACATGTTTCGCTACTATCCTCATGGTGAATATCTTGTCCGCGTAAAGGGTATTTTTGACCAATGAATTGACTAGAATTTGTGCAAATATTTGAGATTTGGGGAAGATGTTTTAACCAAAATCTATCCTGATCTAGACTAATATTCTCTGAAATTTTGGTTGAAATCGGAGGAAAAATAACAACGTTGGTTTCTGAGGGGACCCTAAAAGAAAACTTTTCTTTTTTTCTTTTCCTAGACTTACAGACAAGTCTTCGTCGCTTATCACTTTCATAATAAATGATATAAATCAATGCATTTTTATTTCATTTTATTAATTATTTTCGAAATGATAACAAACTTCTGAAAGTCCATTTATATTATAAGTCGAATTAGACATCTCATGGTTACTCACCAACCTCGTAGTGATCATTTTCTTCGACCATCAATCATGTCACAGTAGCGAAAATTCACTTTTGCTTTATTAATAATCAATTTTCTTTATTTTTTTTTAATGTAATAAAAGATTATCGATGAGAAAATCAAGTGATATTTGGTACATTTGGATGATAATTAAACTGTTTTAAAAATATCTTCCTTGTGATTCCGAATTGACCATAGTCTCACCTTCTTTTCCTATACTGATTACATTATATTTGGTCACTATCTATAGACTGTCCGTAATTTTCCATAGAGTTCTCAAAAAGAAATTCTTTTTTGAAATTTCAGAAGATACGCTTTCCGCTAGATTGTACGCCTGGGGCATTTTTTTTTCACTCAATATAGATATTCTTCGACATATAGTTTACTTCACATCGGATGCCAATTCAATTTTATATCTTTTTTCAATTTTACATTATGATGATTATTAAAATTCTTATAGTTTTGGTAATGAGAAAAAGATTGCAATGTGTCGCTTATAATGCTTCTCCTGTTACGCCCTTGTTTGAGTATTCTTTCTTCAACAAATTCAATCAAAATCCGATACTCTATCAAATCATCATGTTTATACAGAATGCACAACTAATTCAAATAAATCGCCATGATCTGAATAAAAAACGATATTATTTACACGTTGCAATGAGACAATAGAGAAATAGTATTTCGATATGTGAATATTTAAAGGAAAAAAAAGCGAATTTTTTGGATTTTCAAAGTCCGAAAATCTTTTAGGAGCATGTTTTTCTCCGTGGACTATTTGCTTCATCTATCAAGGCACCTAATAGAACGATCACTTTCTAGAACGGACTAGCGACACTCATATAAAAGATGTGATAAATAACCGTGGAAGATGGACGCACTATCATCCGAAGGATACATTGCTGTTCAAATGAAAAGAAGTCGATAGACAATAGTCAGGATATATATCGAGAAAAAGCAACAGCTTGTTATGTGCAATGTCTGACAACAACATGGACAATGAAATTCGATTCTTTCACATTGTTTGGAGAAAGGATGCGTTGAAAACGCAATAAGCAGTTGCATAGGTGGAATTGATGAAGATTCTTTATCACATATTAAAATGTAAATTTTTTTTTTCATCTAATACAAAAAAATAAATTATTTCTAGTTGTGTATGTGATGCTTTTCATCATTCACCAATTATACATACACAGAGATGGAGCACATAATGGACACGTATCGATCTGCTCATCTGTCAGTGGTGCCCCGACCTCCTAGAGTAATAATAGAGACAGTTAAAATTCAATGATAAAAAAAATTACACTAAATCACTATTGTTCTCCTTCAGGTAAAACCAGCTCGTGATAATGAAGAAAATATAAACCATCAATTACCATCAACTGCGGTAGTATGGACAACGTCAACCAAATCTCTTGGTCCTCGATCGTCATCGGCACAACCTAAATTGATATTAAATGGTAGAAACTATCAAAGACGACAATCCTCTGTTTCTTTATTCACTTCTGGTTATGTCAAACCATCATCAAAGGAACCTTCTAAGTGAGTTCAAGCATTTAATCGATCCTCTCTTCTACTATTCGTCAGAGGCCATCAATGGAATATCTTTTGTTTTAGAGATCCGAAAATCGATTCAACTAGCAACAAAACCAAGTGTCCAAAGCTGTTGTTTATTTCTGTTGGCACTATCATTGCTCTATCCGCTTTAACAGCATTGGCAATTGGCATTTACTACCTCATTCGTACTACGCAAACATCGTTAACAACAACTAGCACCACAGCAAGTCTGTATCGACAGCAAATACATATACTCTTCGATATAGGAAATCCTAGATATATAAAAAAGCACCATTGCATATGACTTAGATAGTTCTGTTTAAACTTCCTTTGATAGAATGCTAGAAATGAGTGATCAAATGAAACAACAGAACAGTTCTCTATACATACTTTGCTCATCTTTATTCAAGAAGAAAATTAATCCGCTATGCATCCTGTTGATTGATAAAATATTTCGAAGAAACATCTACAAACAATAGTTATTTTGTTCTTTAAAAATAGTTTATAGTAATTGCCGTTATGAACGAACAATTCTGGCAATTTGCTTTTTTTTCTAGCAACCGCTTTTACACTGCGCTGGCAAACAGAAGGTAAAACTGTGGCCGGTCTTGGAAATCCAGGAGGTGCAGCATCCGACCGATTCTCCACTCCATATCATCTAGCATTAGATTCATTCAATACAATTTACGTTGCTGATTATTATAATAACAGAATTCAAAAGTTTTTGACGGGTTATTCAATCGCTACGACTGTAGCTGGTCAAGCAAGTGGAACATTTGGCTCAACTGCGAATCACTTGCACTATCCTACCTGTGTTCTTGTTGACTCAAATAGCAACCTCTTTGTGTCCGATTCGTCCAATCATCGAGTTCAATATTTTCCTAATGGTACAACGTCGGGAATAACCCTTGTAGGCACAGGTAAAAAAAAACAAGAGCAGTAAAGAGACAGTCAGTCAACTGATTATTTGTCTGTATGTGGACAATATTGAAAATACTTTATTGCACGATAGCCAACAATATCAAAAAGAGAAACCTTGCAAACATTTTCTCCCATCTTTTGAACCGAACATTCGCTCATTCTGGAACTAATATCAGCAGATTTCAATGTTAAGACAAGAATGTGACACCGAACAACATTAGAAATATTGATTACATGAATAAAACTCTACATAAAATCTCATTATTTTTCTTTCTGTTCGTTTAATATGAAAAACAACTTTTTTGATATGACAGTTTGATCAGATATTTATGTGGAAGTTTTCTTGTTCTTATTGAGCTCGATTGTAAGTGTATTCTTAGGTTCTAATGGTTCTTCAATCAATGAACTAAGCAGCCCTCGTGGACTTGCACGTGATTCGATTTCGGGCACACTTTACATAGCAGACTTAGGCAATCATCGTGTAATGAGTTATGCATCGAGTGTCACCACTGTAGCAGCCGGTGGGAATGGACCAGGAAAACTCAACACACAATTGAGTTCTCCTATGGGACTCTATTTTGATTCATCGTCGAACAGCCTATTCATTACTAATTATGGTGCCCACAATATCGTTCGCTGGGTGTTGGGTGCAAGTACTTGGACGCTTGTCGCTGGAAGCTCTAGTGGAGCGGCTGGTTACATATCAACAATGCTCTACAATCCCATGGGTATGACACTCGATTCCATGGGTAACGTTTACGTGGCCGATTCTGTCAGTTCTCGCATACAAATGTTCGCGGCCGGACAACTAAATGGAACAACCATTGCTGGTGTCACCTTAACAGCTGGTAGTATCTCTAACCTACTCTATAATCCATATGCCGTGGCACTCGACAGTCAACTCAATCTATATGTTGCGGACGCATCTAATCAGCGCATACAAAAATTTTTACGATACTAGAGATATATAACCTATGGGACATACTAGAATGTAAATATTATATGATTGATTTTTTTTATACATAAACGATTTCAAAAATTTTCATGCTTGCAGCAACTATGGGCTACAATAAAAAAGAAATTCGATGAAGCAAAACCGTTGTGACTTCGTTTCTTCAGAAAGATGGTGTGGGTGTGGGTGTGGATATGAGTGAAGAGTTGATAAACACTCACGCCCACACCCATACCCATACCCATACCCACACCCACGCCCACACTCACCCACACCCACCCATTGTTGACCATTTTGGTATGACATGCATCGATGTTTTATTCACAACTAAATGATAAATATTCGAGAGATTTCGTTTTATTCGTTCGAAAAATGGTTGAATATCGTTTGGCCAAAATCTCAATTGAAATGATGGAACAAAATCAGCATCGATTGGTGCACATGATTTAAAATAATCTGCTACATCTGTGATATTATTCGGATTACCAATATGCTCATATCTATCATAGAAATCGAGAATAGCTTGAATACGAACCTGAATTACTTGTGGTAGACCATATCCATAGGGAGGACCTACTAAAGTGAAAAGATCACGAAAGGTTTGTTCATGGATATGTTTTTCTTCAAACATCGATGGATTGTATGGTGTTTGATATAATGGTAAAGCATATTGAGATATCGATTGACATACATCCTGACTAAATAGTTTATAGTTCATTCGAATTGTGTCGAAATTCAATTGATTACGTTGTTGTTCAACATTGCCGATGTCGATTGTTCCATATTTTACAGTTTGTGTTGCAGAAGCGCAAGATGCATCGAGCGATGTTGTACTCTCTCGAGTCACAGCGTATAGAGGAGCACCAATTTGTGTTTCACTTGTACAATGCTCTTTTTCCAGTTGAAATCCATTGAGACACCGAATACTATTCGCATCATCTTGAGATGTAAATTGAGTACTTCCCGTACATTCGATTCTATCATCGAATTTGACTCGAACAAATCCTGGGGCACCTGTTTGAATGAGATTTCGTTCATATTTGATAGTATCACAATGAATAAGAATGTCAATATCTCGAATATTCTGATTTGCCATATGACGTGCATAAGTTTGACTCTCGACCGTACTTCCCGATAAAAAGGATAGACATCCCGTAATATCTGTTGTTGTCATGCTCATCAATATTTTTTCTAACTGATATAAAAACTGAATAGTAGTTTGTATCTAATACGTGCCTGTATGTTGGTAAAAAGCTTGTACAGGAGAAAAGAGAAAGTAATAAATCTTGAATGATGTAGTTCTTTTTCGCTATTGTTATATTGTGAGCGAAGCATAATAAAACTTAGTTGATAAAAGGACGAAAGTAGGATATCACATCCTCGGAAGTGACTTTATCAGACTCATATTCCGTCCTCTATTCTTCTGACAACGTTAGAAAACGGAAAAAAATGATGATTAACATTGTTTGAATTATTCTTGGTGGATTTCTCTTGGATAAAGAATTATTAAAGGTCTTTTAATGTTTTGCTGTATGGCTCGGTAAATAAATTCAATAATCTAATCGATGTAATAAAAGAAAAAAAAAGGAACGAGTGATATCTATACCTATCAAAGCATCTAGACAACTCGTATGGTAGATGTTTTTTGTACGGAATTGATACATCAAAGTCCAGATTCTTCTATTGTTGTCAAATAATCCAACGAAGTTCGTTGCGCTTTTCTTGGGTGACTAAATCGTTTGGCTCCATATCTATTTTGCTAGTCAAAGTCAGATCTTATACCTTTTTTCATGCTTTTATCCATTCTAATCACAGTGCTTTGTGTGAAGATTCAATGGTTCGTTTCTGACTGATGTTCTCTTTGTTTTTCGTGTCATCTAATGCACGAGCATACTTAAAAAAAGCAAAATAATGTTCATGCTTAGCCGACTCTGGTCCTATTATTCTAGGTAGTACAATCCGATATCGGTTTTCTCATTCATTACAATATCACATCCTATTGGGTGTGGGTGTGTGGATATGTCCTCACTTCACTCCAACTGCTATCCACATCCACATCCCAAAATTCATTATATAATGTTAGAAATTACTAAATGCACTATGTATCAGTGTCCGACACGAGTCAATTTTTTGTGACCCAACCCGAGATTCACGTCTTTTTCACGGCTTCATCTGAGTCGAACTCTGGTGTCAGCACTCTTCTTTTTCTCTTGAAAAAGTTAATTTCTCAATCCTTTTTTCTTTCTTTCATTTCGAAGTTGGAAACAAAAGAAATGCTCTTAGTGTCTCACCAATATTTCACAGTTGAGATGACAGAGTTATGTAATTAAATGTTTTCTTGTTAGTCTTTCATATTTTATATATGCATCCTACGACCAGTATATCACCACTAAACAAGCAGTGCAATTGCTAGCCAGCGTTTTCCAAGCTCAATAAAGAGAAATCGCTGAGGCAGAAAAGAAGGATCATACAATAGATAGTTTTCTGTGGTATCAAACTTTATATTCTCTTCTATAGAACTTTTAAATGAAAAACCACTTCACGTAACTTTCTTGACTACAAAATATTCAAACTGCAGATCCATCTCAAAGTTTAACAATATTTTTCTGATCCGACTCGATCCAACCCGAATCGGACACTGATATGTATGTATATTTCCGACACTTCCGAAATACTGATAATTTAATGTATTAGCACAAGAAAATTGCTCTACAGGCTATTTTCACTCACTTCTGACTGATTTCAAACATATATCATCTCCAAATTTTGTGAAATATTCGAAGTGGTATATATACCACGTCCGTCCCCAAACGGTTAAGTACAAGTTCATGTACACCAATTGTTACAACGTCATTTTGTTTTTTTGTATGAGTTGACATTGAACTCTGATAGATTATATAGGGATCAGATTAATCAACATAACGTGTTGATATTATTGGAGGATTTTCTTTTTAAACTGAGTCTAAAGAATAAAAATAATTAATAATCACAAGGTGTCGAAGAATTCACCAGGAGATGTCGTATGATTTGTTTCGTTGGCAGTTGATTGATCCTAAAATTTTCAATAAAAAACAATATTTAATGTTTACTTATTCGCCAACAAACCCGATTTTGAAGCGGAATTGGTATATTTTCATCCCGATTATCAAAACTAATTAAAATAAAACAAAAACTAAATTTGAAGAATATTATTTAACATTTAATTCACTCATTTACTGTTTGAACTTGCATTTGATAATGTTCATCGATGCCCATTACTTACTGGTCGTGAAATACTCGATGTAGATGCACCTGTACTATTTCTTAGTAAAGCCACAAAAAAGAACAAAATAATAAACAATATTCTTCTTTATTCAATCTGCCTGATTTTGTTCTATGTTCAGCATCAGATCGAAGTACATCTTTTAGTGTTATTTCAACATTTATTACTGTTTTTTTCTTCAATAGTTTTATGTCCTGATATACTTTCATCAGGTAATAAAGCTAACGGTTTACGTTAATTTGTTGATGTACTTCTTTAAACGTTGTGCTGCTGTACGAGTTGATGATGATGATGGTAAATATGAATATGTTCATTTTAGAGTTGCATTTATTGAACCATTTTTTTTCCATGATCATTATGTAAAACAAATGGAAGAACATAATATAAATAGTGCAAAATGGAAGTAAATGTGTCATAAATTACAATGACGAACGGTGGTTCCATTTGTTTTCTATCATAAAACCTGATAATGAAGTGGCTAGATAATATAGATGAGACGTATTTTCATGAATATTGACTTAATATAAACAGTCTACTCTCCTTCGGACAAAAAAAAGTTTCTTTTTCCATTTCATTTTTGTATCACTTAATATGTTGTTTTAAAAAAACAAAATATACCACGAGATGTAGCGTGAAAAGATCTAAAATTTACAAAGTAAAGCTTATTTTAATTTTGTACTTTTTTTTTCAAAAAAAGCAAAATTCTGTGCGACCAATTTTTGACAGTGCAAAAAAACCATTTTTTTCTATGCGAACGAGAAATTCCTTTTTTCCTTATTTCATCTTTTTATCAACTAATATGTTTTTGTAAACAAAATAAAATGTGTCACAAGATGCAGCGTGGAAAGCTCTACAATTTACATAGAACAGTTTATTGAAATAAGAAGAAAGGAATTTCTCATTGATGTAGAAAAATGATCCTTTTACAGCGTCGAAAATTGGTCACACCGAATCTTGCTCTTTTTCAAAAACGAAAAGTAGATAATTGAAATAAGCTTTACTATGTAGATTGTAGAGTTTTTCACGCTGCATCTTACAGTATATTTTGTTTTTTTTACGAAAACATATTAATTGATAAAAAGATGACATAAGGAAAAAGGAATTTCTTGTTCGCATAGAAAAAAATTACGCTTACGCAGTGTCGAAAATTGGTCGTACAGAATTTTGCTTTTTTTGAAAACAAAAGCATATAATTGAAATAAGCTTTACTTTGTAAATTGTAGTTCTTTTCACGCTGCAAATTGTGATATATTTTGCTTTTTTTAAACAACGTATTAACTGATGCATAAATGAAATGGAAAAAGGAACTTTTTTTTGTCCGAGGGGGACTACATTTTTCTTTGTAGACTTTGTCATGGAAACTAGTAAAGCTTGTTTAACATGCAAAAATAAACACTTCTATGCTCTATTTTTGCAAAAAATGACCAAAAACTAAACAAAAAATCGAAAAAACTTCTAGATCGACCGGTCTGGAAAAAGTCGTTTCTACCGGCCGGTAAGAAATCCTAGACCGGACTGGCCGTTTCCTGGTACCGCTTGCAACACTACAAGATGCTCAACAAATTATAAAATTTATTAATACTAGGTCTCAATAATAGTCATGTGTTCTTTATTACACATCTTATATCTTATTGAGTTTATCACATTATATGATGCAATTTAACTATTAGTGTACGTTTATAATTTTCTTTTTTTTTATGTTCTAGATATTGTTGTCAGGATTTGATTTTTAGTTTCGTTGTCTCCCTCTTAATCTCAAGCAACGATGGCAACCTCACCTGCCCATTCTAATATCATCATCGATCATCCTAATATGATTTCGAAAGCAAAAGTAAGGTACCTACATCAATGAGAGATGTTTTCCTACTGAATGAATTCTTCTTTTCTTCTTCGTAGGTATTCAATGAGCAAGTCTTATCACGACAACTTGATCAATCATCTCCTTTTAAAAATAAATAAGAGAAAATATAATCAAATACCAACATGATTAAAATACCAACAACAATAACTAGATATCTAATAGAATTGAAATCTCCAACAACGATTGGAATTGAGTTTCAATCCATACTCAATTATCTTTGCCAGACCAATCAATCTTTTTAAAAAAATCTGCGAACAATTTTATCAACGATTAGGTATGAAAGAACATCAATCTATACTACCAACAACAATAAATTGATCGGATTCGGATATAAAACTTTGACCAAAAGAAGTTCCATTACTAATGAAAAACATCGAATATCCATAATATCAATGAAGATGAGGCTTGCTTTAATTTTGTCAACAATTCTTTAGACGTATTGAACAAAAAAGAGTGAACAACATCAACGTGAATTTAATATAAAGGCGAGTCGTTTAGCTGGGTGTGAGTGTAAGTACTACTTCTCTCTCTACTCATACACACATCCTGTCTTTATCCATAGTTTATAATGCTAATCTGCAATCTCGCAGTCTCATGAGAAGTGAATCAGTTTTCGGTGAACGTTCGTTGTCATTTCATTTTTTACGTTCGAGTTATTTTTAAAATTTTCAATGAATTTTGCATTATGAAGCCAAAAAACCTCCGAGTTTCTTTTTGCAATGCAGCATTTATTGAGTCTCATTAAAGATCCTTGACAGGCGCGCCGTCGTACTGTTTCAGATTTTAGTACCCATTAAAAAGCTGTTCAGCGCAGCCACTGTGGGGCGAAAATATGGAACTCACATACTCCGTTTGAGTAAGGCTGTTGTTTTCCTTTTGTATGTAGAATTAAACGCAGCGCTAAATTATATCTTGTATATTTATAGTTTACATTAAGATTTATTGAAGATTTGACCCTTCATTGTTCAGGTCTGTAATGGAGCCAATCTGTAATAGAATTCTGTCTGTAATGGCACCCTGATTGTAATGGAGGTCTGTCTGTAATGGAGAT